CCGCCAGGGCCAGGGATTACAGCTTACATTCTGGGGCTGGACCCACTCCTGCCCCTATTACCAGAAGGTTCACCAAATCCTGGGGGCTGGGGAAGCCATTTCCCCACCCATGGTGGTCGATGCCTGTCGTCGCCCTCCCAGAGGTCATGGAGAAGTAGGAGGAAAAGGGACAGCAGGGGCAGGAGGAGGAAGAGGACACGACCAGCACTGTGACATTGAGCCTGGAGCTGGTACCCCTGAGCCAGGATGTGTCGCAGGCATCTTCTAATGGTGGGGAGAGATCATTAGGTGAGTGCTCTCAGTTTTCCACACACTTGAGGCGGGTGCAGAGAGGATGGGGTGTGAACATCGCTCAGCCTGCTCGCCCTGGACTTCATGCTGCAGTTTGAACTATGTGCAGTGCCAGTGTGTGCCATGAGGCCTCAGACGCAGCCCCTGAGCACCCTCGGGATCCTCCTCTCATGCTCAGGGAGGCCACACACGTCTGACCCCTGGGAGAGGGCACACAAGTCTACCCACCACCTGCCACAGTTGGAAGCAGGCTGGGCGCAAGGGCACAAGGCCAACCCCAGACAGACTGAGGTGTGCTGCACACAGCACATGGGCATGCCTGTGTGAGGCAGCACCCGCACCCATGGACAGTGCTGCAAGGCACAGGTGTGTGTGCGGGCCTCAGGGAGGGCCAGGCTTGGACACCTAGAATAGAGGCTTCATTTTCAGAATGCTTATACTATATATAAAAAAATTGTCTAGTAGCACTTTAAAGACTAACAAAACATGGGGGGAGGGGAGGGAGAAAAAAATTGAAGGCGAGGAAGAAAAAAAGATAGTAAATAGATAAGCTTCAGAAGCTCTCCCCTCTCTCCTTCCTTTATTTATTCTTGGATCTGGACTTCCAACACTCCGGTCATCTGAAGAAGTGGTTTGTGCCCATGAAAGCTCATGATACCATCTACATGTTTTGTTAGTCTATAAAGTGCTATTAGAATATTTGTTGTTTAAGTTCTTCCTGTTACAGAGTAACTCAGCTACCCCCTGAAGCTTTTATACTACATAAGTCCATGATACACTCACAACTTAAATATTGCATGCAAGTCCCGTCACCCCCTCATAAAAAAGATACATTAGAATTGGAACTGGTACTAGGATGGGTAACAAAAATGATTAAGAGTATGGAAGTTCCCCCCTCCTCAAATTCAGATGAGTGCAGATTTGATAGCTTGTATTTATTTAACTGTACTGTATATGATATGTTTCAGAGGAGCTCAGTGTGCTACATTGGACCACTGCAAAGAGGCTCAGGGCTGCAGTGGCCAAAGGAGAGGAACCCTTTCCCAAGCCCCCACATGGAGCAACCACAGGTGGGAGGGGAAGGGGCCCATCCCCACCAGCCCCAACACAGACTTGCTGTGGTGGGGGGAAGGGGCCTCCTTCCTGCTAGCTCCAGCACTGAGTGCAGCCAGTGTAGCTCTGCAGGAACTGGTGGGGAAGCAGCCAGCAGATCCAGCACTTAAGCAGGGGGAGGAAGGCACAGGGCTCTGTGCATTGTCCGCAGCCTGACTGAGTGGGGTGGGCGGTGTCCTTAATGGGTGGCTTACCGGGTACAGGTAATGGATATGGGCTGGAGCAGCCCCCCGTCTGCCAAGGGCCCAGTGCACTCCTGCCTGGCCAGAGTAGCTCCCATCTGTGGTGTCCCCCCACTGATCCCCTCCATTTAACTGGTTAAACTTGACATTTAACCAGCTAATGAAATAAATGGGATTTTACACCTTATCCTCCAACCCCTGGAGCCAAACCTGCTGGCTGTTTCTGGGGCATGGGGTGATGCCCCAGACAGGCAGATACCAGGCAGACACCACGAGCCATCCAGATAAGCTCGAGCCCTGAGCCCCCCATAAACCTGGTGCCCAAAGTGCACACCTGAGCCCACAGCCTGTATTCCCTTCGGCACGCCAACCTCTGCTCCAGAACACTCACTTCCTACTGCATCCAAATCCCCTTCCTCAACCTGCATCCCCCTTCGGTATTCTGAATCCTTTTGCCCTACTCCAGGCTGGAGTGCTCTCCTGCACCCCAATCTCATCCCCATTTTAGACTTTATACACCTTAGCCCCTCCTGTAGCCCAACTACTTGCTGCAGCCCTGAGCCCCTTCACACTCAGCACTTCCATTTAGAGCCCTCAACCCAATCCGTTAGCTCCACCTGTCACGCACTGTCCATGTGTGTAATGCCTTTTGTTATGTGATATATCACCGCCCTACTGGTGCACATAATGAAAGTTAATCTGCACATGGACATAAAAAATTACAGGGAACACTAGTGAGGGGTAATGAATTTAGACCTCCCACTGCTTGTTAGAGTACCACTGCAGAGACCTATGCAGGTAAATTGTTCCCAGTGAGGGTTGAAGGTTCAGCTAGAGCAGTGGTCTCCAATCTTTTTATACTCAAGATCACTTTTTAAATGACAGACCAAGCCAAGATCTACCACCCCGCCCCTTCCTTGAAGCCCCGCTCTCTCTATTCTCCTCCTCTCCATCACTTGCTATTCCCAATCCTTATACTGCTGTTTTTTTTAAAAGGTTTTTCCAACATTTGGAAGAGGTTTTTCAACATTTGGAAGTGGTGCTCAGCCAGGATGCACCACGCTCCACGTGGGCTGGTGCAGAGAAGAAGCTGCCTGGCCAGCTGGCTGTGGCCTTCAGCCCGGAGAAGGATGAACTGTGCTCCAGCTGATCGGGTGGCTTCCCCTCTGTGCCTGGCCACGTGGAGCTTGGTGCACCCTGGCTGAGCGCCATGGCCAGCTGGCTGGGAAGCAGCTTCTCTTCGCTCCCGCCATGCTGCCCTGTGCTCAGCCCGGGAAGCTTGCTCCAGCACAGCTGCAGCTAGATGCAGCCTCCCTGGGCTAAGCGCAGGGCAGCCAGGCTGGAGGGAAGAGAAGCGGCTTCCCGGCCAGCTGGCCATGGTGCTCAGCCAGGGTGCACCAAGCTCCACGTGGCCAGGCACAGAGGGGAAGCCACCCGATCAGCTGGAGCACAGTTCATCCTTCTCCGGGCTGAAGGCCACAGCCAGCTGGCCAGGCAGCTTCTTCTCTGCACCAGCCCACGTGGAGCGTGGTGCATCCTGGCTGAGCACCACTTCCAAATGTTGAAAAACCTCTTCCAAATGTTGGAAAAACCTTTTAAAAAAAACAGCAGTATAAGGATTGGGAATAGCAAGTGATGGAGAGGAGGAGAATAGAGAGAGCGGGGCTTCAAGGAAGGGGCGGGGTGGTAGATCTTGGCTTGGTCTGTCATTTAAAAAGTGATCTTGAGTATAAAAAGATTGGAGACCACTGCTCTAGCTGAACCTTCAACCCTCACTGGGAACAATTTACCTGCATAGGTCTCTGCAGTGGTACTCTAACAAGCAGTGGGAGGTCTAAATTCATTACCCCTCACTAGTGTTCCCTGTAATTTTTTATGTCCATGTGCAGATTAACTTTCATTATGTGCACCAGTAGGGCGGTGATATATCACATAACAAAAGGCATTACACACATGGACAGTGCGTGACAGGTGGAGCTAACGGATTGGGTTGAGGGCTCTAGCCTAATCTACATGCTTCTGGCGACAGAGGCATGTAGTCTAGACGTACACTTAGAGCCCCTGAGATCTACCAGTAGATCACGATCTACTGGTTGGTGACCACGCAGCTAGAGCCATGCATAAGGTGAACACGTGTTCTCTTCCAGAACAGTCCTATTTATTCCAGCTGTCCTAGTTGTTTGGGAAAAGTTTTCCTTTGTCCCATTTGCTCTCCCAAACTGAATCAAATTGGTAAAAAAAGTGGGGTGCGTAGGAACGTGCTTGGGGAGGGATGGCAGGCTAAACGTGAGCCAGCTGCAATTCTAGCCCCAGCCTCGCACCGGGAAGGGAGCACCAGGGGGAGGGAAAGCTCGGGCCAGCCCCACATGGCTGAGCCTCGGCCTAGCCTCACGCGGGGTCCCTTTCGCCCTGTGGGAGCGATGGTCTCTCCCGCCCTACACGCTGCGAGGTCTGCCCTGCGCCTAGCCCCACAGGCACGCGTGGGCACATGATCCACGCAATTCTAGCCCCAGCCTCGCACCGGGAAGGGAGCACCAGGGGGAGGGAAAGCTCGGGCCAGCCCCACATGGCTGAGCCTCGGCCTAGCCTCACGCGGGGTCCCTTTCGCCCTGTGGGAGCGATGGTCTCTCCCGCCCTACACGCTGCGAGGTCTGCCCTGCGCCTAGCCCCACAGGCACGCGTGGGCACATGATCCACGTTCTGCGGCAGCCCCCGCTGGGCCTGGCGCTCCAGCCCCGGGCAGCCCGCGCTGAGGCCCTTGGAGCCCTTGTGCGTTACTGACACGGGGCTCTGGGCAGCCGCCGGGGCGCTG